CCTACACAGTGCCACCATTGGCTCTTTTCAGGGAGGTATAAAATACTTTTATTTGTGCCAATATAAAATTTTCAGAAGCACACAAAATGTTTTAGGACCCTGTGTGATTTTTTTTTCAAAGTAAATCCCATTAAATTATTTTCCCTTAAAAAAAAGAAAAAAAACAACATGAGAAAAGGAAAAAAAAACCCACAGCCATATTTTGAAAGGATTTTTTTCACCCAGTCCACAAATTTCAAAGCCAGTCATCTAACAGCTCTCTACATAAGTGAAATAACAACATGAATTTAAAGCAGATGATATATACTGAATCAACCCTTCACATGGATACTGCCATTTATACATTTCAATATTATTTAGCTTAATTCTCTTTGAAACAGAAGCATAACCATTCAGATTAAGGACATTTTAATTCACATTTGTCCCCTCTAATATGGCACCCTACATTTATTTGGACTAAATTCCCCTCCCATGTTTAGAAAAGCCCTAAGGAACCACAAACTTGGACCTAAACCCTGCATCTCTTTGCACTACTGAAGATGGGACCTGTTTTTCTAAGTTACTTAGATGCTATTGGATATTTGATCCATGATCTTGCTTCTCTCTTTTTTTCCTGAAAATGTCAGCAAACATGGGCTGTGCCAGAAAGCCTTTGTCCCCTGAAGGTGGCCTACACATCCCCCGACTGATGCGATTGCTGGCTCTGCCCAGAGAAATGGAGGGTAGGTGTGCTCTGCACCACCTCCCCCTGCCCTCCCGGGGCTCCTTCCGCCTCAGCAGACCCTGGAGCTGCCACGGCAGCTGTGTGGCTGGCTGAGCAAAGACCCCGTTTCCTCTTTTTTAAGAGAAGTACACCCAGATTGGGAAAACTACAGGTTGTAGTGTTAGGTTAAAAGTGTTGGGGTTGAAGTCACCGCATGGAGAAAGAGCAAACTTCCGTCACAAGCTGAATCACACCACCACTGCACTTGCTGTCTGACTTGATCCCCAGAGTGCAAAATGGGAACAATTAAGAGCATTTCCAGAGGGAAACTGAAAGATAGAGATAGACCCAAGGGAAGGCAGCCAGGGTATTCCTCATCTATGGTGATCTAGCTGGGCCATAACGATCCCCAGATTCACAGCAGAGAGCATTAATTAGACGTCCTCTCCCATCTCAGTGCATTCGCAGTAAATCGGCAGTGCTCCTGCACAACTTCACTGCCTGAAGATTGCTTCATCCCCGGCAGTTTTCCGGAGAGAAGAGTCTGCAACCCAAGACATAAGGACAAGATGTCCGTCTGGAGATTTTTCTCACCTTTTCTCTCTCTCTCTGTTTTTCTAAGGAAGAGTAAGTAGAGCACTGATGGCAAACCCCTACAGCCCTCATGGTCAGAAGATACGAGGGGATTCAGTCAATAATTTATTAGGATATATGATTAGTCTCTTTTCAGAGACTAGTCATCCAAGCTAACCTGTACTGCCGCATTTTATATTTTTTAAAATAAATATAATGGCCAGAATTAGCTCGAGGGCAAAACTGGTTCTCGGGAGCTGTGCTGTTTATTCCCTCCTGATATACTGCTGTCAGCAAGCAGCATCTCTGCAAGGGTCAGCAGTTACATGCATGCACAGCTAGACACTGTGTAGGTCAGGGAGGGTTTGCATTTCTGCAAGAGAGAGAGTGCTGGAGAGCATTACCCTTTTGCCTGCTGCTACTCCCTGTGATTCAGCACGGCCTCCAGTACCCCCCTGCACAACCAGGAAGAGATTTGTCTGTCTTTTTTTTTTGTTTGTTTTGTTCCAATGCTGAGCCCAGGGTATGCAGAGCATGTTACTGAGGAGAA